AAAAAATTCATAGTTTATAATGATATTCGAAATACATACACATATGCATATATTTAAACACTTGTGTACCTCTTTCTATTATATGTGTATCTCTATTATATCAATTGTTATATAAAAATATAGCACATTAATAAGATAAATAAAAAATAATATTTATATTATTTATAATATTGTGTATATATGTTTACCTCCGCCGTTTCAAATTAACATTTATTATTTAGTTACTGAAATAAATGTGTGAAGACGTAATATCTTTTGACAACTACTAAAATTATAAGTGGCTCTCTTAATGTGTATGCGCAACACTGAGCCTTACTAGAACATTCCTATGATATTAAAAAATATTACATAACATTCTTAGAATATTATAAGAATATTATTTTAATATTTAATAATATTCATATAATAATATTCAAAGAATATTACACGCTTATAGGATTGACATTCATCAACTTCCCACTTGAACCTTTCATTCTATAGATTTTATTTTTATGCTAACTTGAACGACCTATCTTACTGATACTGAAACGGCAAAAACAGAAATGTAAGATATCGTCACGGTCACGGTAGATATAACTTATATTATAGAGTTGTTAAATTTAACCTATTTTGCTATCTTTGCTACTATTGTATTGTAGAATTAAAGAGCCTTAAGGGGGTCATCCCGTGTGACGGCTTCAAAAAATCGATTTATTTTTTTTGCATAAATCTAATCTAGAGCATGCATAGAATATACTGGCAAAGTAATTTTGGCAAAGAATTTTTTTAACTGGTGCCCATGATTTTTCAAAAACGGTTCAATGGATTTAAATAAAATTTTAATGGTAGATTCAGCACATGTGTGGCTATCGTAGCTATCGTGGGAACTAGAATTTTTAAAAAATATTGAACCGTTTTCTGTCCGCATAAAAAAATAGTCGCAAAAAATCATGCTATTTTGAGTTATAATTTTTAAAAGCATGCGAAAAATTGAATTTTTAATATTTTCAAAAAATCCTAGTTCCCACGATAGCCATTCACCTATAGATTAAAATGCAATTTGATTTTTTGATTTCCGATAAACCAGTCTGCCGGAATCGTGGGCACCGTTTGTCTGCTTTTTTTTACATGAGTGCCATTCCAGTGATATAACTTGCCATCGACGCCATATTTTTAAATAAAAAAATTTACACATATAGTTTAAGATGTAATAAATATATAGTAAAAATTTGGAAGCTCTGTATTTTTTCATTTCGCCGCAAAAAAATGCAAAAAAAAACCTTAAAAAAACGGTCGTCACACGGGATGACCCCCTTAACATAGAACCCTAACATTTCGACTCGAGTAAGAAAAGACGCGAGTGCGATTCTCTTTATTTCCCTCTGTTTCCCGAGTGTACACGCGGTTTTCTTCTTACAATTTAACCCCCCTCCCCTTAGGAAGAAGAAAATGTTGACGTCGGCTGTATATATCGCGCGGTGTAGGAAAACTGCGTTTTTAACGGGTGACGTTTAAGCGGTCGCGTAGCAGAAAATGACGCGATTATCGACCTTCTCTCGCCGTCGCTATTTCTGGCGCGCCAGTTTGGCTCGTTCCAATCGTGTGTATCGGATAAACTCGCGATGCAGAAGTCACGAAAGAGAGAGAAAGAGAGAGAGAGAGAGAGAGAACGAGGACTACCGGCTTACGCGCGAGTGTGACGTACGAGGCAGTTTTTACGCTGCGAGGGAAGACGTCTTACACGGGAAGACGATCCGACCGGGAGCGGTCACCGGCTTCCTTCGATGGTAGAAACAAGGGCCGGGGGGGGGGGGAGATGGGCGACATAACGACGGAACGATAAACTAATTATTTCGATATTCATTATTCATCCCGCGCGATTCGGTGGGAGATAACCGCTTCTTTCTAACGTCGGGCACTGCCGCGGGTGTCGCGTCTACCCGAGGCGATTTAAGCGACGCTCCGCATTGCGGAAATCGATCTCTACCGCGATCGATGATCCGGAGATATCCCGAGATCGCGCGAATTGTTCGAGCTGCCGTCTCAGTAGTGTGCCCGCGCGACTGTCCACCGTGAATCGAAGGGCGGTGTGTCAATTTTTCCTCCGTCAAGTACGCGAGTGGCAAATTTGCATACAATTTCGCGACACGACGGCGAACGGAAAATTTGGTATGTATACGCGCCGTCGGAGCGAGTGAATTTAGCGAGTCTATTTACGAACGGGGTTTTCACGCTGGTTAAACGGAAGAGGTAAGTCATACGTGTGTGTGGGTGTAACGGTACGCGTGTAGGAAATTTTTTGAATTTCTTTATACATCTCCGCGTCTCACACTGAGAAGAAAAGCGGTTGGATTGTCAAAATCGACGGTCAGCTTTATTTAAGAAAATATTGTGTCCACTGGGTAGATTATGCATTGGCGTGATAACACGCAATGTTGCGTTCCTCCCAGTAAGCAAGAAATCATTAACACAAACCATTAACATGTATTATCACAATGATACTTTATAACACGTTTTCAAATATGTAGTTTTTAATATTGCGTGCAACGTCGTTGTTAACAATATTTAACCCAAATATTAAAAATAATATTTGTACAATATGATTTTAATATTTAGGAATATTATATTATCAAGTAACAGTTCAAAAACATTTATAAAATATTATATCAAATGTTTATAACATCCATATAAAATCAATGTTTCAAGAGATTGATTTAATGTTTCTCGCTTACTAGGTTGCGAAACTCATTTAGTTGACTCAAACGAAATACTCGCTCGGATAAGGACAAACAAATGTTTTGATTGTGAAAAACAATATTTGATTTTCTGAACCAAACTTTTTTCATTATCCTTTCAGGGAACCAAACCCTAGTTTACTACTAGTAGCGTATTTTATTGGCCAATAAAACGCCAATAAAGAAGCTACTAAGCACCCTTTATTGGCGTTTCATTGGCCAATAAAATACGCTACTAGAGAACCTTTGGTTCAGAGAACCAAACTTTGGTTTTCACAACTAAAACATTTGCTCGCCCATATCCAAACAAGAATTTGGTTTGAATCAACTAAATGGGTTTTTCAGTGTACGATTGCCGGCCAAATCGCAATCATTAAATCAATTGATAATTCATTACAGTAACTGTACAATTTGTTCGATAGATTAAATATTGTGCTTGAAAAAAATGTTCCTTGTTCGTTTAAGCAAATTTTGTTGATTTTATCACTTTTTTCTTCAGTGTAGTATCACACACTGAGAAATAAGTTTGATTGGGTTTACCTGATAATGAAGAAGCAAACGTCTTTTGAAAAAAAATATCTAGTTCCCATCAACCAAATTTGACTTTAATAACCAGAAATTCTGTTTTGTTCCAACCAAAACGTGTTCGATTGTCTAGATAGATTAAACTAAATTCACTTTTCAGTTCGGCACACATAAGCAAGCGGTAAAACTTGAACATTAAGCGAATTGCCAGTCACACGTCGATAATTTCAACATGATGGTCTCACGTTCTCGATAATTTTCAAATATGATCGATTAATATTCGCTCAATACTCAAGTTTCAGTAATTACTTTAAGTCACTGCGTACATTTTTCTACGTGATATCTGTCTCACTTTCAACGTAACATATACAGAAAGTAGTCGGCGATTATCGTCGAGCTATTCTTCGGAGCGTCTGAATTGACTCAGGCAAAACTCTCGTTTGAATATGAATTAAAACTTGGTTCTCTGAACTTTTTTCATTTTCGTTTCAAAGAAAAAACCAAACCTTTGGCTCCCCTTACAGAAAAGTATCACTGCTTATGATAAATTGGCCGGTGATAAATCATTGTTGCACGGTAATTTTATTGCCCGTACGAATAATAAAATTACCGAGCGACAGTAATTTATTACTGACCAATTTATCATATCAGGTGGCGATACTTTTCGGTAAGAGTCGGAGAACCATATTTTGGTTTCCACAACCGAAAATATTTCTCACGTTCAAACAAGAATTTTGTTTGAGCCAAGTTAAACTTTCTCAGTATACTGTCTCATTTGCCTCTTCTCATTTAAGAATTGCGATTTCTTTCAAGGTTTTTTTCGCTTGAGTTGAGTCGATAATTCGCGATTCAAGACGCGTGCGAATCTGCCTCTCGTTTCACCCTTCCTCCCGCTTGATCTTTCGCAGAAGCCGGCCTTCTCTTACCTTTCGCCGTCTCTCTTTCTCCTTTCTCGCTGTTTCACTATTTTGCCAAACACACACACACACACACACAACATTACAGTAAATATATCGCGTTTCGTGTCGGGGATCGTATATCAACGGTGCTCCGTCGGGTTTCCTCTTCGCACAAAGCGTCGCGTCTTGCCAGGGAGAACTTCGTCATCAACGTCACCGCTTTAAGATCGTTGTCGAGGTGCTGCAATGTCAACGACGTCGATCGATTCGTGATTAACGATTGATTAGATATACTTGGTGGTCTCACATGTGGCTACCGGACACCGCTGTGTCGGGTCTCTCGTTACTTGTCGGCGTGCCGCTACATTCATCATTATCAGAATTCATAATTAATTCGCGGTACAATTCCCCCTGCCATTTTAAGGCGGCTGTACGCACAGTGGATTTTCTCCTATAACAGCATTCCTTCGCGACTAGTGCCGAGATTGCTACATGACGCGGCAGTTGTGAGTTTAAAACTGGATAACGACAACGCGGATAAGAAGACGTGTGAGTACTATTAATTAGTGACTTCTTCGTATGAAGAAATGACGAGTCACGGAGCAACGGGTTTGACTCCGGTTTCTCGCGAGCGGCTCGAGAACTTCGGTGATTGATTGTATTTTTCCGACGCCACTTTCTTCGCCTTTCGTTTTTTCATCTCGTGTTAATAAACACGCGTGATTGGCTACATGCAAAGTGAGAATACGATTATACCTACGACTTTATCCCGTTCGATGCTATTCGACGCGAAATTACTTGTCAAGCAACCTCGTGTTAGACATATCGTATTTTCATCATGCTGATGAAAATATTAGACAAATTACTAATCAAATAAGAGTTTATTTTTTTGTAATTCCCGCCATGTTTTGAAATACGTAATCGAATGTTCTTCGTCTTCTTTGTCGACTCAAAGGGGGAAGAAACGCGGATCGCGAGGAGGATTCAAATCGATCGCCAACCGCCGTTGAGCAGTCCTGCGACCCAATTCTGAACGCACAGCGAACGCTATGCCCTTCTCAAATTCCAAGATACATTTTTCTTACACGAGCGTCACGTTTAACATTGTTCCCGTTTAAGAAACAGAAAGGCATGTTTAGCGCTCGATACATAGAAAAAAATATCATCCTGCCGCTAAGAAAAGCGATCACTCAGTTTATTTTTCTTCTTTTAAGTAATGATCATCTTCGACAAAGAATATTTTCTTGATTGTAATTTTCAAATACACTTATTACAAAGTTTAGAAAAGCTCGTTATCATGCGCACTCAAAAGAATTTATTGTCTTTTTGAGAATATTATGAACTTTACCGAAGGAAAATTAAAATCGATTAATTTGAATAAAGCAAACCGAGGTCAGTTTTAATTTAATATTCTTAATTGAAATATTAAACTTATACTTATGGATATGTAAATTTATGAAATACTTGAAACAAGTAATATTTACTTGAATGCAGGACATGTTTTTCTATGAGTACACGTTCAGAATAAAATTCCTAGTTCCGAGCGATCAAAAATGAGGGACGAATTTGAAACATGAATTATCGATGGCGTAATCACCGACCAAATTCGTAGAAAGTACTTAATGCCTGAAATGCTGAAATATTGATCAAAGGTTAATGAAGCGAGAACACAATTTACGGAGATACCTAAACGTACCAGTAGCGAGAAATTTGTTTTAAATAAAAGATAAGACTAAGCAACGAGAACTATTATGCGCGTTCCGTAAAACTACGAAGTTGTCCTGACGATGGTCTTTGTGAAGGCCTCCGTTAATTAACTTTAATGGGACAGTCAGCTAGATATCGCGATGTAGGAACGCAGATATCGTATCGCAGGACGCGTATTATCTTCTCAATGTTCTATAAGTTAGTTTGCTTTAGTTGCGTTTGTTGCACTTTCTCACTGAATGTATACTAACTCTGTTTGTGTTAACCGATGTGACGTCATAAAGTTATAAAGTCTGTTTATTTTACGAAGACCGTTACACTTTGCACCAAATTCCTTGTACTTGGTCCAAAAGAAGGGCAATAGATGTAAGAGTAGTGCTTGGCAAATGAAAAGAGAACGCAAACATTGTATGCGTGTGGGGTGAATTTAACGCCATTTAACAATTAACGAATTTAACATTTCTCTGCACTTAGTTATAAATTTCTGGGAAAAAATAATAATATATGATTATATATAATTATATAAAATCATATATGAATTTTGTTCATATATGTAATTACATATATGATTATATATGTCTATACGAAAGAAAAATTATGTTATTTAACCTTTTTAGTGCCGGGCGAAAAAGAGGTGCTTATGCGAAGATAACCGGCCGATTTTACTAGGATTTGGTAAAAGGCTCATAAAAACCAAACGAAAAGCAATATTTAAAAATTATTTATTTTAATTCTCTCGTAATGAAATTAGACTATTTATAACGTATTTTAAATTTATTTTGATAGAGATCTCTCGCAATGCGAATAGTAAAGCGCTACAAGGTGCGGGCCGATATATCGGCTCTGGCACTTCTCGCCGGTGTAGCAGGAGCCGATATATCGGCTCCCGGCACTAAAAGGGTTAAATAAATGTCGATATTATGTGCTGTCAGAAGTACAATTAGCCAGAAGCATTTACTTTAATTGTATTTGCATATAATTTGTAAACAATAGCATTCTTTTTTCATTGTAGACATATATGATTATATATAGTCATGTATGGGCAAATTTCATATATCTTTTTTTCTCAGGTTATAAGTAAATGTGGCAAAATCACTATACTTTCTAAAATGTCTAGAAATTTACTAGAATACAAGTGTAACAACAAGTGCAAATAAAACGGATAAACAAACCATACGCGCGCGAGCGTAATTTCATTATCCCTCTAAGCACGTAATATTCCTAGAATATTCCAAGAATATTCTATTAATGTTATATGTCCGTCTCACATAATATTCTTGGCATATTATAAAAATGTTCTTAGAATATTGAAAAAAAGTAAAATAATAATAATATAGAAAAAAAAAATATATATATATATATTATATTTATATTTTATATATATAAATATAATTTTTTTAGTATATAACGTATTTTTACAAAATTATTTTGACTTATTTATATAATAAAACAATTGGTATAGCATTACATTTTAAAGAAAAAAACTACAATTATATATATCATATATATACGTAGAGTTGAATATTAAAAAAAAATATATAATATTGCAATAATATTAACACATTAATTGCCACGCCGAATTCACATCTTTTGCTCAGGGCGTCATGAAAGTATTTTCATTATTCTAAGCATATAATAATAAAATAATAATAAATATGGTTTTATAAGATCATATCCTTATCCATAGAGTGTTTATCTTGCTGGTGGACTTGAGTGATCATGAGTGACGACCATGGCGCCTTGATGGACTCGATTGCAGTTGATAATTGCTTTGGAATATTGACTCACATTATGACTATTTACGATGCTTGCGCGATATAGCCGTCGTTAGATAGAAAATTTTATAAAAATTAACCCTTTTACTTTTCCAAATAAATGCACTTATGAAATAAACTTATACATAGTGGTTAAACATAGCAAATTAAATGCAATATATGGTAGAACACATTGCGGACCAGACATATTATTGCTAACCGTACTCAATAGCCGGGTATGTTTTCGCCTCTAACGACGCAATATGAAATACGAGATATCTCGTCATTCGTCCGCAATGTGTTAAGTATGTTAAAAAAATTTGTGTTCCATTTTACAAACGGAATAGCGCAGCTATTTTCTGTATATATATATATAATAAAATATATAATGTTCTAAGTAAAATTTTTAATTGTCGAATAGTACACTTTTTATTTCAAAGTATTCTTTAATTGGCTGTGATGTTCAAAATTCGTTAGCTGACGATGTTCATTCCATTTTTACAATTATAAACATTTAAAGCACTTCGGTCACTAATGACCACCGTAGCGCCACAGACAAAACAATTTGCGGTCACGTGACCAAATATTAAAAAAAAAAAATAATATAAATATTATAAATATTATAATATAGTAATATTATAATATTACCAAATATTATAAAGATTATTTTTTTAATATTATTAGAAGTGGACATATAACTATATCTGTTAACATTCCAGAAATATTCTTTAATATTAAATAATATTACTAGAAAATTATTAGAATATTACGTGTGATATTTGAAGAATATGCCCGGAATATTACTCAATATTAAATAATATTACGCGCTTGTAGGGATCATTCACATATAAATTTGCGAGCTTTATCTGTTCGAGCGGTCTACTAAGTAGTGCGCAACGCGTTGGTCGGCATCGGCTCTCCCGGCGCGCTCGAGATTAAGACAACACAATCTTGCAAGAGCGCATTCTCGCGCTCATGATCGAGTTCAAAAAAGTGTTTTCACGGGATTATCAGACTCTGCCGAGTCACTTCGCGCACGGCTTGTGAGCGTACTCAGTGACCCTTAACTCTACTTTCGATATCTCGCTGTTCCTGAACGTCGACTTTGTGCGCATTTCTCTTGTGCGCCCGCCGCCGCAACGATACGCAAAGTACGCAAGCACGCATCGCGAGCGGGCTATTTTTGTCTCTCGAGAATAAAGGAAACGACTCGGACAAGTCATCGACTAAGAGAGATGGAGAAAAAGCGCAAAACGTTCGTTTCTCATGGACGAGATGAACGAGAGAAGAGCGAGGAGGGCGTGGGGCACGCGGCGTTGATATTGCCGTTTCGCCGGTTGTATAATCCTCTTGCGATTTCTCTGAAAGAGATTTTCGAACGAAATCCGATCCGGAACTTACAAATATATATTATTGACAGAGGCGCGGGGAGAAATCGCGGTGCCATTTGGATATTAAATCGACGAACGAGAAGCGGCGCGCAGAAGGGACTTCGTTCAATATCGCTAATTGTACGTCGTAGTCGGGTCGTCAAACTCGCGTTTGATCTTCATAATTGTCCCGATCGAGGCGCGTGTCACGGTGCCACTTGATCCCATCACGTTCGGACGACACACTGGCTGCTGCTCAGATCGCATCCACTTAAGATGCCGTTTGACACGCACTCCAAGGGGAAACTCAAATTACACGGGATTCGTGCGGCGGCGGCAGCCTTAGTCGATCATCGTCACGCGCTTCAGCGGGACCAGCTCATTTTCACAGTCGATAGTTTGCTCAACTCTCGGCTGTCCACCGAGAGCGAATATTCGTCAGCGTGTATCACATGTGACACGAGCGGACGTAGTGTCAGCGGATAAAAAAACGGGAGGGAAAGATCGAGCGGCCGGTATCGGCCGAATAACAGGGAAAAATCGGTATCGGTATCTCCCGATTTCGACTTCGTCGCTCGGATAATAACTTCTCTTCTTCTTCTTCTTGTCGACGGTGAGGTCAGTCTTCGGCCGGCCGTGATGAGAAAGTTCCTCCGAAATTTCCCACCGAGAATCCGCGGCGTTTCGCGAGGTAAACTTCACATCCGCGTCCACTAACGTTTACTGCTCCCGCTGCCCAGAGAACATGAAGAACATGAACGGCGTGAAGAATTCCATAGACACCACCGATCCGAACGAGACGACCACGCTGAGACCCAAGCTGGAGACCTTCGACGATCTCCTGCCGTACGTCGGCGACTTCGGCAGATATCAGTGGCTGCTCCTGCTGGCGTTGTTCCCCTTCAGCGTGGAATACGCCGTCCTATACTTCTCCCAGTTCTTCCTCACCCTGGTGCCGCAGGAGCACTGGTGCCAGATAGACGAGATGATCTCATCGAATTTCACGCAGGAGGAGAGGTAACGAGTTCCCCTTTGCGAGGATATTTTAGATTTCATACCGCGAAAACGTCCGGTCGGTGGTTTGGTCGCACTGAGATCAAGATTTCTTCAAATTTTATATAAATTTTATCGCATCTGAACAAATTTCGTCATTGGCGGGCTCCGAAGAAACTGTTTCGATTAATAAGTACGATTGTCAGACTCTTCGACGAATACGTATCTTGATCTTAAATAGAAATTTTTTTTTAAACGAAAGATAATTTTCTTTACAGAGAAATTGTTTCATTTTACATATCTATTGTAACCAAATAACGTTTTATTCGGTTAAAAGATATTATTTCAAATAACAGCGTTCTTTCTGTCAAATAATAGAGTTTTCTTGAATGAGACAATAAGATTTTTACTCAGACAAATAATATTTCGTATATGTTATTTCTGTGAAACGAATTTTCATCAAATAAATAGAAATACCAAATCTAAAGAAACCTTTTTCTCTGCGTAGTAAAAGCATCACATTCGACAAGAAATCGTTAACACAACGTTATTGCAATATATTTTATAGCACGTTTTCAAATATGCAGTTCTTAATGTTGTTTACAACGTCACTGTTAACAATATTTGAAAAAAAGTTAAAAACAATATTTTTGTACTAAAATTTTAACATTTAATAATATATCATTAAGTAACAGTTAAAAACATTTATGAAATATTATGTCAAATGTTTATAAGATCCACGTAAAATCAATGTTTTAAAAGATTGTTTTCATGTTTCTTACTTACTGGGTTATCACTACCAGATAGCAAAATATCTGACCTCATTTTGTATTTACAATAGTCAAAACGTGAGGAGAAGAATAGATAAAGATATATGCGCATAAGTTGCTATCGTACATGTTGATATCGTTCACGTCATGTTCTCAGGAAAATATGTAAGAGAATGAATCATAATCACATCAAGAATGTGCATCATTGTGTGTATTTATAGCGCTTCTATTTTTTAATACCCTATTTCTTGTGTGAAAGATAGAATTCTGAAATTTCATGACTTTTCATCGATCATTTCCTTTATTAAATAATTGACAAAAAGTGATAAGATTACAGAGTCCTATTTTTTACACAAGAAATGGGATATTAATCTAAAAAATAGAAACGGTCAGAAATGATTGCTCGGTATTTCTAGTATTAGACACTTACAAACACTCAGGTCGAACATTTTGAAGTAGCACGAGTAAATGCACGACTCTTTAAAGTGTGTTTCTTCCGGTATTGAGATGAAACTGAGTAAAAGAGGAACGTAGCACTCTTACTCATTGATTGAAAAATGTATTGAAGACAATCTTCTCAAAAATACTCACGTATACTCGCTTGCACTCGTCGTATTCCTTCACGTGCCTACGAGAGTACAAGGAACAAACATACACGGAGGAAAAATCTTGGCCGGCACAGCAAATTGTTAGTTACTACACAGTGACAGCAAAAAATTTCGTTACACCGAGAAAAATAACTTTGCAGTCGTAACAAAAAACGTCGTTGCGACAGCAATAAAATTTAATTTGCGCAACCGAATTATTTTGCTGTTCATGTATCCAGCAAACAGCGATTAATACTTCTAACAAATCTTTCCGCCGTCAGTATAATACGATTTGCCGTGCCATCGGAAAATGTTCTCCGTAAACAAAAATGACCGAGCAGGCCGGAAACAGGCTACGATGAGTGAAAACGGTGAAACACTTTAGCAAGGGGTTCCATCAATATTATTCTCTAACGTATCTGACGCGCCGACAAATTTCTCTCCCCTTTCCCCGCATCTTTTGCGTTTTCTACGCGCGCGCATTTTACATTTTCGTCAAATTCGTGTCCACCGTGTGTTCCGCGCAGGGTCGAGCTCGGCATACCGAAGTCCCAGAATTATCCGTATTACGATCAGTGCCGTCGGAAGGATCTGGACTTCCCCGCCGTTCTCGGCCACGAGGGTGAGATTCGCTCGCTCGAATGGAAGACAAACAGGACCGTCGACTGCCGCCGATGGGAGTACAATTTCACGCAGATCCCGTACGCCAGTATAGCCGCTGAGGTGAAGTATCCTCGAGTGTGTGCGCGCAGGACGATGAAGAGAGCCGGGATTCGCGGGCTATTCCTCCGGACGATCGGCGCAATTACCTGTAGTGTGATTACAATCGATCCTCCGCCGCTCTATCGCCGGCAAAAAGAAAAAATCGCAATCGTGCGCACATTATCGCGTTATTCCGCAGCGAATCGCGGGTCGTTTGCGCGGTTAAATTTCTCATAATCATCGCTCATCGGATCTCGTTGGAGTTTCATCAGGAACGATTTATAATCGTTCTCTTCCCGGTACGAGACGCTCGTTCAAGGATCCCGGTATTGCGCACTCGAATCGGCCTTAGCCCGCAATAGTCCCCATAGTAAACTTTCAGCCTTTTGCCTGCGAGCGATAAACCGTATGACGTAATTTCTCGCAAAAGACCGTTCGCCGCGCTCCCGAAAGCCGCGACAGCGCTGAAATTTTCGGAATCACGTCTGGTAGTGCTGAGAAGCAGCTTTCCTGCTGGAAATTACGTGTTATAACTTAGCGCTTTCAGCGAAAGGCCAAGAGTTCGCCACATCTATTGTGAAGGCCTTATTCTCGAAAATATGTGGAAAATATCGGCATACTCGGTATTTCGTGAATGTTTAATGCGGACTTCGTTCACGATATTTCTTCTCGCATGGTTCGATCCCACTAGGTACCAAATATGCGATATTTACCGCGCACGAATTACTCGTAACAACCCAGGTAGACAGAAATGCTGAACGTACTATGCCAATATTTAATGTGTACTTTACGGTGTCTTTGAAACAGCGCAATATATTTCAAATATGCTTGTTTTAAAAAATACTCATTTTCCACGCTATAATTTTAATCAAACTATTGGACTTCTCATTACCACAATAATTCCGGATTAACTGCGTTTTCATTCGAGTAAAATACACAGAAAAGAATAATCTTATATAAATCAATGATAGATATTCTTATATATAAGCAAGAATATTTTTAGAAGATTTTTAGCCTTGAATTGAGCGCAAGCAATACTTGCATAAACACAAATTCAATCGAATCAAGACTAAAAATCTTCTAAAAAGATTATAATATTCCTGCTTATATATATGAGAATATCTACACTGAGGAAAAAAATATTTCAAAACAAACGAATATTTCTTTGGTAGGTCTTTATGCGATATTTACTTAAATCTAAATTCACTTTATTTAAATCGAGTATTATTTACTTAAACCGAGTAAACATTGCTCGGTTTAAATAAAGAGAATTTAGATTTAAGTAAATATCGTGTGAGGACCCACCAAAGAAACATTCGTTTGTTTTTTTTCTCAGCCTATCATTGATTTAAAACTACTTTTTTTTCCCATGTAAGCAGCAATATTTATGACATCGCCGCAATATTGCCGCAATTTTCACGGCATCAGACAATCTGCTTTTATATACAAGACAAATACAAAATATATACGATACAAGACAAAATGTTTGTCGAATAAGGACGCATCTTAACGGACTTGTGCCAGTCTCGACGCGACAATATCGAAATTCGCCCTACCCAGGAATTCGAGAATATAAAGTTGCCGCGAAATGTAATATTCTACAAATGTGACGTTCGTGCGCGATATCTTTCACACATTTTCGAAAGCAGGAGCTTGTGACTCGGCTGCGTCATCCCCGCGCGCTGATCCTGGAACCTTCGTGATTAGCTAGATTGGGTATGCGACCGGGAATATCTCATATCGACGGCACAGGCGATCTTCTTCTGCGGCTCCATCGTCGGCGGCTTCGTCTTCGGCTGGATCGCCGATCACAAGGGCCGGATACCCGCGCTGATGCTGTGCAACGCCGTCGCGCTCTTGGCCTCCATCGCTACCGCGAGCGCGCGCACCTTCTGGTCCTTCTCGTTGTGCCGATTCCTCACCGGCTTGGCTTTCGACAACTGTATCAACATACCGCTGATCATCGGTGAGTTTCGCGCCGGATTACAGGTGAAAAATAATTAGAGGATAAAACTAATCACCACCCGGGTCGCGCGACATTCAAGAGAGAGAGAGAGAGAGAGAGAGGGATCTTCAAGGTCTCTCTTTCTCTCTTCGGATCGAGTTAATAGCCGCGATAGAAACTTCAAGTGTACGGATCTATTTTGACGCCCGGCCGGATGAATTATGCATGGAAATATTCTCCCGATCATTGTCTCAAGCCTCTGAGTTACATAAATCTTCTTAACGAACGCTTCTCGGCGTGACGCGGATTCATCCGGAGGAGGAGGAGAAGAATCATTCAGCAGATCGAAAGAAATCGTTTTCAGCCGACTCATCAATATTTATGCACGTGTCCACATTTTTTACGCCGTACGGCAGTTTCGTTTTACGCGATCGAACTCACATTTTGCGCGGACATTATTGTTCTTATTCGCGCGAATTACGTTACGTAAGAAAGGCGTACGTTAGACGAGCTGTTAACCGAGCTATGTGACCGAGCGTTAGCCTCTCTCGAGAGGCGCGACTCTCCCCGAATGAAATCCCGGAATGAAACTAACCGAAGGATCCTCACAGTGGTGGAGTACATGGCCGTGAAGAGGCGGACCTTGGTCGTCAACGTCGCCTTTGGCATATACTTCGCTCTCGGCAGCACGGTTCTACCATGGGTCGCGTACTACGTCGCGAACTGGCGGCTCTTGGCGTACATCACCGCGGTGCCGATGATGAGCGTCTTCATCACGCCTTGGATCCTCCCCGAGAGCGCTCGGTAAACCCGATCGATCACGCACTCCGATTGTCTCGCTCGCATCCTGTCCGACGTCGTCGCCCTGCGCGAACTGTTCATTCACTCAGCCCCCAGCGCCGATGTTCCTTCGTTCTGACCTTGTGACGGGAAATTTGCATTCTCCATCAGGTGTACAAATTAATCCGGTGCCATTGCATTTAATGTCCTGTAACTCGGGTTCCAATATCAATCTTTTCCCCCTATGGTGATTTGAAAGTGCCGATCTTAAGCTTTGAGAAGCATTATAATAGTTGACAGCCTTGCCGATATGAGCTCGGGAAACGGTTGTCACGATGTTGTTCGAGAAGAAACGTCTGAGGCACCGCAGTCTTTTTGCACTCCAGTCGATAAAAGTGCTGCTCGGCCCACTGAAATGATCCGTTCCGCTTTGGGCGAAGCCGCTGTGATTCATAAAACTTGTAAAAAGACCTTTTACCGGCATTGGAACTAAACGATAACGCGCGGCACACGCACTTTAAAACAGGTTGACGAGGTACGAAAAAGCACCGATGACTTTATTGAGTCAAAACCGTCAAGTTTTTCTCGCGCATCGGGCATTCATCAGCTGCCCGGATTATGACGGAGCAAAATCGCAGGGAATAATGGAAATGATTTCGAACATTAAACTTGTACGTGACTTTTTGTAAGTAAACTTTGAATCTCATTTGAAAGAAAAGGCACCGAATTAATTTCTACATCTAATAGTTGAACTTCACTGATTACCAGCGGCATACGTGCGGGCCGACGTATTCAGTGACCAGTCACTGATAATCAGTGACATCATCTTCAGATTCAGAGAGCATATTTAAGTAATCGAGTCGCGACCTTTTTTTCTCTCTCGAAGAGAGAGAAACACGAGACGTTCTCGGGCGAACAGCGCTTGAGGATATCGCGCGACGTCTAAGGATTCGCTCGCGTGCACGAAAAGCTCATTTCTTCATCATCGTCGTCATCACCCCGTCGTTGTCCCGTCGTCGTCCGAATTTACCGCTGAATAGAACACTGTTTCACGGTTAAGATGGTTCGTCGCCAACGGCAGGATAGACAAAGTGGTGCAGAAGCTGCGGCGAATAGCGAAGGTAAACAAGAAGAGCCCGGACGCGCGCATCTACGAGATCTTCGTGGTAAGTGAGACCAAAGCCCGTGAAGCCGGGAGCGGCGCTTAATCCACGTTTCGCCTTGCCCTCTTGTTCGCAGAGAAGGCTCACCGCATCCGACACTCACACGGAGAGCGCGACCATCCTCGATCTCCTGAGATCGCCCCGGCTGGCGAAGAACGCCATCCTGCTGATCTTCATCTGGTGAGTGCGATAAACGCAATCGTCGATCTTTCTCCTCCGTGAAAAACATTTCCTTCAAGGGCTCGCGGAATATTGCATTTTCAGTTTGCGATCTACTTGCGTTCTGTTTAATCATATCTAGTTTAGTTTTCCAAGAAGGCGATGCATTAAGGAGGTTCATTTATTAAGTGTATTTCTTGGTGGTGCGTCGAGAGAGCCTTTCATAAATTTACTATTTATCGAGCAAAATTACGTTTCTGCACATGTATTTCATTGCCCAAATAATAAATCATTAATTTAACACGAAAATGATAAATATATATACAATATAAATATGAATGCGCGATATAAATATATATGCACATTATTACAGACATGAAAATATTGTTTTATTTTTCTTACTAATACACTATATTCATGCATCAGTTGATTTAATTGAGATGCACAAATGAGAAAGAGGTATATAAGTGTTTAAATATGTGCATATGTATGTTATCCTGAATATTACTTATAAATTATAAACTTTCCACTAGTTTATTTTCAAAATAAAACTCAATAATACTGAAATTTGTCGATAATATCTGTGTATTAGTCTCTGATATTACGACCGTTTTCTAAATTTCTATCTTATATACAAATATGTCAAATCAGAAGAAATTTGTTGTATTATGAGATTTCTACATGTTTGCACATACAAGTATATAATTAAGTATTTCGAAAACGATACGGTAAAGATTACTGGAATTTCTGTCACGCTAGTTCGATTAACTTTAGCATCATGTATATATATTGTTTGTCAGGTTTCTCTTATTTGGTCGAATAAACTGAAATAATAACGCTGGAACCTTCTTAAAACTAGCTCTTCAATTATTACTGCACCTTTTAGTCGCTTTCGTTCCCTAGAGAATACTCAATCCTCACTGTACAACTTGAGTTCAATAAAGTATTATTATTATTGTTGTTGTTGTTGTTGTTGTTGTTGTTTTTATTATTATTGTTATTATTATTATTATTATTATTATACTCTGAAAGAAAGAGGTGCTACATTTAAGTAAATATTTGCCAACTAATATCCGATTATTTTACTTAAATTAATTAAATATTACTTGAATATCACTGTACTTTTTTTCTTTCAGTTACTTCCAAATAATATTTGCTCAATCCAAGTAAAATAATTACTCCACTACGCTCAGCTCCTTAGCAAATGTTTACTTGAATCTAGCGTTTTTTCTTTCTTTCGGATGTAATTTTAGAAAATACAGTGTTCCTCTGTCTGGTCCGAAATATATCCCGGGGATTGCGACCTTCTTGAATGAGGAGCCTTCGGAATCTGGCAGCCTCTCGCGCGTTTCGTTGCGGATGTAGTCGAGAGAAACACGTCGAATTTCTGCCGCGTATTATTTTTAAAATCGTGCAACCTATATTTCTTCTCTACACGTCACATATATATCATCCGTGTACGCACACATACACACGTGTAAAGTTCGCCGGGCGAGCCGACGAAATCATGGACATATTTCGTGACGTTCCAGGTCTTTGACGTTGATAGCGTTTGACGGCCACGTGTACTCTCTCAAGCTGATCCCGAGCTCGGTGTTCGTGTCCTTCTCCCTCGCCTGTGCGACCGAGCTGCCGGCCGGGCTGCTGCTGGCGTTGCTGTTGGACCGTTGGGGCCGCCGATTCTGCGGATTTATCACTCTGGCTATGACTTGCCTCTTCAGCTTCGCTGAGCTGCTGCTGCAGTCGAGTGAGTGCGCGCGCGAGCCTCCTCCCCGCCGAGCAATATCGAGTGCTCGAAGTGCTCGCTCCTCGTAATCCTGAGCATTTTTCACTGTCCAGCCGTGGCGATCCTCACTATGTCGGTGCTCTCACGATTCTGCCTGAACATGGCGGCGAACGTGAGCCTCCAGTACGCCGCCGAGCTACTGCCAACCCCGGTCCGATCGCAGGGCGTCTCGTTGATTCACATCTTCGGCATAGTCGCTCACTCCCTCGCGCCTTACGTGGTCGACGCGGTGAGTGATCCTTCTTATTTCCTCTCACGAGAGAAACGAAAGCTTCAGTTTTTCATCTCAGACAACAGACTTCCTAAGATGTTGCAAGGACGTCTTTTAGACAATAAGGCGTCTACAGGATGTCTCTGAGACGTCTTTCAGACATATTTCTTGTTTCGTGGAACGATTCTGATCGTCCCGCTCGACATTGTTCCAGGCCAAGATCTGGGACGGCATGCCGATGATGATCATCGTTGTCGTGTCCTTCGTCGCCGCCACCCTCATATTGTTCCTGCCGGAGACGCTCGGCCGCGAACTGCCGCAGACTCTCCGCCAGGGAGAGGACTTCGGCAAGGATCAGAACTTCTGGACGCTGCCCTGCTGCCAAAAGTCCTACGTGGACCGGCATCGACATTATCATACACGCGAGCCGTAGTCCTTTTTCAATCAAATCACATTTTATCCCCCTCCCCCTTCCGCCCCGCTGCAATCTGCGTGGGGACGCATAGTGAAGAATTTCACTGACGCCGCCTCGGCGTGTTTTACGTTACTTTAATGTATAACACGATGTACTCCCCAGCGAGAAATGAGCCATCGACGCTAAATCGACGTTGAAATAATCGAGATTACGTCGAAGCGAAGTCGACCTGACGTCGACTCGGTGTTCATTCCTCGCTGGGTCAGTGACCATACTTTTTTTTTATATGAACGAATAAAATTTATATATATAGGAAGTTCGGGACAATCCTTCGACGCAAATAATAATTGTTTTTCTTTCTCTCTCTTCCTCTTTTCTCTTTTTCTTCACTTTCTTTTCTATTAGGTGTATAATTTAATTTGGTGCCTTTCTTCAAGAAACTTAAAGTTTATTTACAAAATGTCAAGTTTAATATTCGAAACAATTTCCATTATTTCCTACAAACTTTTACTCCATCTATCGCGCAGCTGATGAATGCCTGATTCGCGGAAAAAATTTGCCAGTTTTGACTCAATAAAGCTCCAATAAGTCATCAATGCTTTTTCGTCAACCTCGTCAACATATTTTAAAATGCGCATCCGCCAAATGATGTTGAAGCGACCAAAATAGGTGGTGATCCGACGGGACTAAGTCTGGCGAATAAGCCGCATGAGGGAGAATTTCCCAGCCCGATGTGTAGATGAGATCCTTCATCCCTTTTGCAGTATGTGCAGCAGAATCACCCGCCTAGTCCCATTGCTGATAAAAGGTCTTTTTATAAGTTTTATGGGTCACAGCACCTTCAGCCAAAGCGGAACAAATCATTTCGGTAGGCCGGGCAGCGTGTTTATTCAACTGGAGTGCGAAAAGGATGCAGTGCCTCGGATGCTTCTTTTCGGACGACATCGTAATAACTACTGTTTTCTGACATTATGTCGGCAAGATCGTCAACTATTATAGTGTTTCTTGAAGCCTAAGCTTGCCACGTTCAAATCATAGGATAGGAAACAAATTGAAATCCGAACCAGAGTTACAGGACATTAAATGCAAAGGCACCGAATTAATTTGCACACTCAATAACTAAAAAGATTCATGCCTCACCGAGGATGGATGCGACGGAGTGGACGGGCGCAGTAATCAGCGTAAAATAGGAATGTATTATTTTTATTTCTCAGTTTCCTCGCATTGGTAATTCGGTCGCTTCTAAACAGTGGTGTAGGTGAGATTGGAACCGGATAGAACTTACGCGATTTCGCGTGATTCTCGCGAAGGAGAATTTTCAAGTTTGGCAGTAAACGCCTCAGATATGGAAGGCACCCTTTGCTATGCGGCACGCAGGCAGCACTTAGTCTGTCCGCTTTAAATTATTTAAAATTTTCTACTTATGCAACTAATTGATGGTGATTGCCGTCGCTGTTGGCAATTTCGCAATGACTCTTGATGATGCATCAAGAGAGGGACTTTGACGGTCCCTTCGTCCGCACAATTCGTCCAGTCTCTGCCGTGTCGTTTAAAAAATCACGCTAGGACAACAAAACGACTCGACCTATCTATCTATCTATCTATCTATCTCCGTATGTCCCTCTCATTTCGATACGAATAATGATCTGCCTCCTAAGTCAAGAAGAACCTCGTCCTTCGAGGAGAAGGAATGAGCAACGAACAAACCGGGCTGGAATACGACATAAGTAAATTACTCATTTACCGTGATTAATCTAAAGCTAAAAACGCAGTTAAATAACTTCATATCACGCTGCGTCTCGCGCGAGAGCTACGAGAGAATCGAGAGCGTCGACAATCGATGGGAGAATATCGGTATATACCGTGTGTGCGTTCGTGCATGCGTGTGTGTGTGTGTGTGTGTGTGTGTGTCGCGGAGAAACGGTCCGAGAAACAAGCCCACATTCCAGAAACGGCCCCGCTCGGCGAATCGACGTGCACTCCGCGCGCATTTCATGTCCACTTGTGCGTCCATTTGAGCGGAATATATCCGGAGGTGCATCCTGCACTTGCGTCGTCATCGTCCGTTCTCGATCGACCGCACCACTGCGCGCCCCGGTCACATCACACGCGCTCGACGTGTCCATCGCGCGTCACGAGCTCGAAGAAAAACACTTAAGATCACACGGGCGATTCGGTCGCGATATTTACAACGATTTGGCGGATCCTCGCACGGCCGCTATAATCTGGTGGAGTCGATCGTCTGGACGCTGCCGTGATGGAAGGCCACGTTCGTCGTACCCTCCTGATTCCTCAGCGACCTCTTCAGCCGGGGGGTGCTGCAAATTTACAGGAGTAACGGGTGAGAGGGCTCGCGAAACTTCTACCCGTGGATAGTTTAGCGTGTGGTCTCTCAGCCGGGGAAATCGATGGATTATCCATTTTGATTTGCGTTCCTCCGGCTGGGGAGAAATGACGGCTGGGACTTACGATGATATGCAGGGTATCCACCAGAAGCTCTGTTCCACGCCGAAGTCGTTACCCTCCTGCAGAGATTCGGGCAGCTCCTGGTCCAAAGTCTCCGGCAATGCCAGTGTCAGGAACGCGTCCGCGAAGGACAAGAGGCCGAGGACTACCAGCGGCAGGCTCGCGTTCACATCGGCCTGGGAGAAACGAAGAACAATGTTGACACTCTGACTGATCTCGTGTCTTCTGCCTTCCGGCTTCTTCTTTCTCTCTAAATCTGAATCAGTGGATAATCACTGACTATCAGTGACTATTCTCTGAACATGTCAGTCACGAGTATGCCGCTGGTGAATCAGTGAAATTCGACTAGAAAATCTGTGAAGCTTGGAATGCCGAATGAATCGATGAACGTATGCCGATTAAATATGTGAAAAATTTACTTGTTACTTTACTTATTTTTATTCACTCATTTGCTTTACTTATTTACTTGACCTTTCGCTTGGTAATATTAACACAACGTAAAGGACGATAATGCCGACGAGTTAGCGTTACGGATCGCAGAAACCCCGGATAAATTTGCGATCCGACACGCACGAGCATTGTCTCTCGGAAACCACTAATAAGCGAATGGCGACATAACCGGCGACAAATCAGTGGCCGTTCTCGCTGATCGCGCAACGGATTCGGCTCTGTTTCGCTGATTAGCGATGCAAGCCGTCAACTAATTCGATCGGTGACTTTTCCCACCGATTCAGATTCAGAGAGTGCTTCTCTTTTGTTCCCTCAAGAACCTCATTGATCTCGTTGGGAAAGTCTCTCTCTCCCTCTCTCCTCTGGAATACTTACCAAGTAAACTACGTAAGGACCGACGATGTGAGCGATGTAACCAATAATGTGAATCAGCGACACACCTTGCGCCCGCACTACGGTCGGCAACATTTCAGCCGCGTATTGGAAACCGATATTCGCGGCGACGTTGACACCGAGGCGCGCCAAGATCGCCATGGTGACTGTAACTCCACCTGAAATGTCGCGGGCCGTGTAAACGTGCGACGTACGAAAAGTGCGCGGCGGATTGGATCCGCACCCTCGGGCTCGAAACTTGGAGCTTTGACCGTGAAGGGCCGCGATCGCAAAAGAGCGAGATCGGATCCTACATTGAATTTCCCGTCCCCCGTCTTTCTTACGTTTGTTATCGCGACTTAAAGCTCTCTTCCGCGTCATCGTTACACGACGGACGACGCTGTCGGCTTGTAACTAAAGTAACTCACCGGGGGGAGTAAGGAGCGCAATTAACGAGAAAACGCCGCAGACGAACATAGAGGCGAAACCCATCCATCGTCTGCCCCATCTATCAAGGAAAAGTGCCAGGAGAATCGCGGCCGGAAGCTCGGTCAGAGCGGCTAATGAGAAGGACGTGAATACGTCGGGATCCAGCAACTTCAAGTTCCAAACGTGTCCGTCGAACACTAAGATGATCAAGAGCCTGTTCGGGCGAGCCGTTCGATCAATCGCTTCTCGATGATAAATTTATCGAATTCACTTCTCTCGCTCATCTCGCTGAAAATATTTACCAGTAAATCACGAGCATCACGGTGATGCGGGCGAGCCGCGGTAATTTGAAGAGGTGCAACACGGTGTACTGATTGTGCGACTGGTCCTTCTCGATCATCGACCTGCAGCTCTTCTCGAACTCCTCCAACACCTCCGGCTTGATATCCTTGCCGTTGACCTTCGCGAATTTCTTCAGCATGTCGATCGCCTTGTCAATTTTGCCGCTCATGATGTACCATCTGGTGGGCGATATTTGCAAAAAGATTCATCAAGACTGACAATGAGAATTTGATGGTGATGCTTGGAAATATAGAGGGGAGGGGGGGCAATTACCGTGCACTTTCCGGAACGAGCCATGGTCCTAGGAAAGCGACGATCATCGGGAATGCGGTAACGACGCTTAAAATTCTCCAGTCGGCGATCCAATACGCGATCCATGGTAGAAGACTGGCGGCGGCGGCGAAGTAAATTCCGAAGGACATGTTCGCCACCAAAGTTCGGTACTTCGGGCCGACGTACTCGATCACTGCGGCGGAAAAGTACAATCCGAGAGTTGTTCGCGATAATTTCCGCAGAATCGAACTTCCACCTTGGTATTTGCAATTGCTAAGAAATCATTTTTCGCCGGATAAGAGCCGCGCAAAGACGTTGCTTGCGAGTGACAATTTCCCACGGGGAGATAATAATGCATGACTCTAATTGGCGAAAAATTATTTCTCAGTAATTAAATAATTAAAAGAGTCTTTTCGAGCGGAACAAAAAGTCACGATAACGTCAAAATGACAGTGAAATGATTTCCAAAGGTCACTTTTTGATCATGACGGAAAATTGATGAAATTATGGGTTTGGAATTTACAGATTTAATTCTTTCCCGATAAATTGTTTCTTCAATATATTTAAGCTGCGCATGTTAGTAGTTATAAAGCAAAGTTGTTCGTGCAAACAATATTCTGTTTATTATCATTACAAACAATTTTGCTTATATATAGCTAATTAAAATTACAAATGAAAATTACTACAATTTTAAATACAACTAGAACATTTGAATATGACAATATGAAAATCTGTAAAATGTTATATATATATTATTTTGGCAATGAATATCGGAACGTAGCCTTAGAAGGAATATAAAAAATCGAGTGTGGAGGACTTAAGGGCGTTCTGCAATACTCCGTAAAATAAGGAAGCAAGGAATTGTCACTAGCTATTCATATTACAGTAACGAAAAAGCCAAATTATCGTTTCCCTTAAGATATCAAGTGATATCACTGAAATTTTCTATAAATGATTACTTTTTGACGTCATCTTGAGGTCATCTTGACTTTTCGTTCTGCTTCGCTTCGTTTTGTATAATTTGTATCTTAGTATTTATAAACCAGAATCCCCCGAATAATTCAATATCCGAATCGTCAAAAGTACGAACAAAGTTACTCCGATACCTATTTGTACATCCTCGATAGGCTGCTTGTGTTCGGACAGAAAATTCCTTTCAGTCATTATAATAATTCTTTGACGCTTATTTGATTTGATTTTACATCATAGTCGATAGTTACGACGATAATACGCACCTATGATGAAGATAACGTTGAAGCAATTGTCGAACGACGAGCCGACGATCAGCCTCGCGACACAGAAGGACCAGAAGCTGTTGCAGAAGGCCGTCGCGATCGAAGCGAAGAATCCGACAGCGTTGCAGGACACCAACGCCGGTATTCTGCCGTAACGATCGGCTATGTAGCCGAATATCAGGCCCCCGATGATGCTGCCGACGAAGAAGGCCGATTGGGCCGCGGAACCGAGGAAAGTCTTGTCGCAGACCCATTCGAGCTAACAAAGTGGCGCACAAATTATCGCAGTCGCTCGCGCGGTAACAATCGAATTAGCATATAATCAAGAGGTATTCAGAGAACTCGTCGACGCCATTATTACGAAAAGAATATTGACCGCTATTAATAGCCCCGTCGTCATCGCGTGTTTCTCTTCTTCTTTTATTGCCTATTAGTGCCGTATTTTCTAGCGATGCATCGAGAAGGCCACACCATAAATGTTGTATTTATCAAACGATATTACGTGCTCTTGCAGTTATTTCACTAACTGAACAATAAGTGTTAATTTGTAATTTTGTACTGAAGTTAAGGTTAAACATGTACAGGGTGAGGGCGAACCTATGATACAACTTGTGTGGGGAGGGGGAGTGATTCATGGTAAAAAAATAAGTCGAAGGTTAAGGATAAACTTTTTCCATCTGCGGCTTTGTTTCCGACAAGATCAAGTTTGAAAACAATGAGTTTTGAATACCATATAGTTTTTCATGAAAATCTTAGATTTAGAAGATATTAGAAATAGAAGTTAAAAGCAACTCTCAGCCCTCGAACAATCTTTTTCTAATTGCACGAGCAATGAGATCAGATAATATTTCAATGTATACGCAAGTTCCATCGAATTCTTATCAAACTCATTTTACCTTACAACCTCTTGTAACGTGTAACTTTTGATCCAGGCTGTGAATCACCGTCAAACTTTGGATGTCACTTTTAAATGCAACGTAGATCGATTTGTAAGATTTTCACAATGTTTTCATAATCCTGACTCACGGGCAGTCATCATCCTTAACGTCATCGTAGGCGAACACACACGCCTGTGATTTCAAAGTTTCGCGATAAAAAGCATTCTGCATTCTCGCGTCTGGTGTACTTTACGTAGGGAGAGGAGAAAACGGGAGGAGGCGAAGGCGCGCGCGAGCGAGGAGCACCCGTGAGCAGCCGGTTGATATTTCGCAAGTCGACAAATTAATATTAATCGATTAGCTCCGTCGACTCCGTCGTATCGGGATAAGGATTTATCGTACGCGAGGAGATAAGCATTACACGCATTGTACACATTGTCCGGTCGTCAACCCACCTCGGCGGCGATGGAGGCGTACGGTATCATCGTGTGATTGAAGGTCCATCCTTGCTTGCACCGTGTTGTCGGCCACGACGGATCGGCCTGCTTGACGCCCCGTTCGAACAGCTCGGTGTAATTCACGTCGTACATGTTGCATCTTGAGAACGGCATGGCAGTTTCCAGCCGCAATTCCTCGTCAGTGGCCGGCGGTATCGCTAGCGAGATTCTGCGGACATTACGACGACGGTGTTGATATATCTTACTCTCCGAGACGTGGCATATTTAATTTTATAATGCGCGATTAATTTTATGTCGCGCGAGCTTGAGATAAAACGCGTCCTTCGCGCATGAAAAAAGAAGAAAGGAGGACCAACCGGTACGCGAAGATCGTACTACGAGCTCCGATTACGTTAGACGACACGCGTTGCGCCAGAGGAATCAGCGAGTGAACTTTTTTTCTCTCAGTACTTCTGCACGTCTAAAGCATGCGTCCTCGGAGAAGGAATTAGTTCTGTAAAAGCTAAAATGTAGCTGTGGTGGCGAGAGTAGGAAGCTAAAACGGGTTAATGTCATTGTTAAGTTTTTTAGCTGCCACAGCAATGACATTGGTTATTAGGTATAAGGTGCGTTTGTTGCAAGATAAGATTATATTGTTCGCCATGTGATGCATTAATTCGAGCCGCTAATATATTTAGTTACAGTAACAAAGATATTTAGCTGTTCTGGTTTAACTGTTGGGGGAAAAATAAGTTTACTAGTGTGAATGCATCGTTGCTATTGTATATTCGTTGCGACAACGACAAGTTTAAAATAAGATAAGATTTTACAAAATAAGCGAATTATTTGTAATTAAAACAGAAATAGTTTTGTTGTCGGGGTATCGATTACGTAACTTTTTCCCTAAGACGGAAACGTGACAAGTGAAATATTTTCAAATTAGAGAATTTACACTTTTCACAAATTCACGCTGGAGGAGAAGATTCATGACCCACCGGGGGTTGATGATGAATCTTCCCCTGTAGCGTGAATTCGGAAAAAGTGTAAATTGTCTAATTTTAAAACATTTCACTTTTCCGCCTTAGGGAAAAGGTTACGCGATCGATATCCAGCACAGAAAAATTTTGCCGAACGAATTTGCCTTTAGGACGCGTTAATTTGCTGTTAAAACAAAACAGTGCTTCTTACATTTGCTATTTCGTTCTCTTACAGCGAAACGATTTGTATAGATTTGACGAAATATAGCTAGCAAATGGCAATTAGTATGTACGGAATAAATAATTCGGTTCCCGCAATTCAATAAGGATTCAAATGAAAACTCGGCTTTCAGAAAAAATACGAAACAATATCTCTATTAACGCGACTGAGAGAATATTTGTGTGTGAACATCAGCCGAGCATTAAAATTCAATTGAGATAAGATGGAGATAGATAACTGAGAGCAATCGACCGGATAGATATTATCTTCGGAAATTTTTCTATTCCCACAATCGAGCTCTCGTCTGGCAAAAATCCTCCGGTAGAAAAATTCAGTTGTACCAACGGAATTATATATTTGCCGCGCATTCTTAAGAAATCAATTTTGCCGTCCACGTAGTAGCTGGCAGATTTTGCTGCAAGAGCAGCACAGAAAATTTGCTGCGCCAGGGAATTATTTTTCTCCTTTTTTCATGGCTAATTCCATCTCTTATGCCGAAGACACGCCGTCAAATATCTACTCTCGGGCGGCCTCTTGAGCGGAGAAGAGAACTATAACGCCAGTCTGAATCTCTCTCTTCCTCTCTCTCTCTCTTCTTTTCTCTCTCTCTCTCTCTCTCTCTCTCTCTCTCGATGAAATCCGCTCGAGGTCGACGGCCAAACAGGTTTTCAATGTAACTTCGCGCACGGGGAAACCACCGATTGACCAATCTGAATCATGCAGTCACCGCAGCCAAGACAAATTTTCCGCGTAATGCCTATCATAACATTCCGTACGACACGCTCCATTGAAAACACCGGCCAGCTCAGTCAATTTTTCGGAAAAGAAAAAATCCTCGTCGGCGAGGGCGATTTCGTAGCATCGGTTGAATCCGACGAGAATTCGCGGCTTCCCGTCGTTTTCCTTGAGCACCGCCGAAATGATCGCCGCCGGAAAGAGCGGAAGAAATACTTCATCTCGCGCGTCTCCCACTTCTCTCCGGCCTCGATCGACGAGCACGTTATGTCACGCGCAAAAAAAAAACAATTACACGCTTCCATCTTTGCAGCCTGATCTGCGGAGAGAGTGCAAGAAGCGCGTAACGTAATTAGGCGCAATTATTCGTTAGCCCGGAGAAAAGTTTTTTCCCGCGAGAACGAAATAACGCGGATGCGATTTGGACGGAAGGATGTCGTCGTTTTGTATTTTACTTTTTAATGAAGCGATCCCGATATAGTGGTAATTGCTCTACGAGAAGAGCGAACGAGAGAGAGAGAGGGAGAGAAAAAGATAGATGGAGGGAGATACGTAGCATGTATCTCGGCATGCTCTTAATTATGCTTAATAAACCGAGTCTTGGGAATACCCGGTGAAAAATAATATACCGCTAGCAGGAAAAGTTCTTATGAGCACGTTAATTGAGTCATTGAAATGAGTTCGCGACAAGAAATTACTATGATAAGAAGTTATTAGTGGAAACATGAATAGAATATATATCTATTTCTCTCTTTCTCTCTCTCTCTCTCTCTCTCTCTCTCTCTCTCTCTCTCTCTCTCTTTTTCTCTCTCTGGCAATTAATATATTTTATGTGACCGTGGCGTTTTATCGGTCTGCAAAAAGAGAGTCTGTAAAAATTCGCTAGACATTTAATTAACAAGTAAAACCAAAGGAAATCACAGGCTACCTGTGCGCGATACTTTTTTCGGAAACTTTCACGCGTGAAAACTTTTGCGAGATCTCGAGTCGTTCGGAAAAATTCTCGGATTCATATCCGTCTTGATCAATGAATAAATAAAGAACCAAAATATTAGCAGTTGCCCAAAAAGATTCACAGGTGAGGAGGAACGCGAGAATTCAAGACACCCGGTGTACGTGCAAAAAATCTGCCACGCAGGGGAGAGTTTATATATATAAGCCGGCCAAACCGTGGCCCAAGGTCTCGGTCAGCTCGGGACCTTGAACTGTTACGGTTTCAAGATGAAAGGGAGTTTCTCACCGCGCGCATTCTGCGTTCTCTCTTATTTCGCAACTTTCACGGATTGTCGAACTTCAGTCTCGCCATCTTCGCTCATACAAGTCATTTCCGGCCGTCGCGTCGGTCCACGAGACCGCCGATTGTTGCCCGAAAATTGTATTCTTTATTTTTTCTTAACTTTTTCAGACTTCCAAATCGTCTCGACGCGATACGCGAGAAACGCTTTACTGTTTATTATTATTCGGAAAGAGAATGGTTTCATCACTCACATCTCTTGGTCGGTGAAATTCAAGTTGCGCAGCTCCGGTATGGCGCACCAGTGCTCGGCCGGGACGAGGGTGAGGAAGAACTGCGCGAAGTACAGGAAGGCGTAGACGAAGGTGAACGGCAGCAGCAGGAAGAACAGGAACCACTGATACCTGCTGGCTTCGCCGACATACGGCAGGATGTCGTCGAAAGTCTCGATCTTCTTTGAGGCCTTGCCCTCCTCGGCTTTCGCGGACTCTACCATGGCCGTCATCGTTGCGGAGTCTGCGACACGAGCAACTCTTATCACGCGTCCGTCTTAAAAAGACTCATTTGGAGCTAACGTCATCGAGAGAGGGGGAGGATCTCTACCGGGTATTTGCGATATAAAAGAACTGGCCTCTCGTCCGCTCGGAAACGTGAGGAATGATAATGGCGCGCGGTAACAAAGCGCGAAATGCATAATGCAGCGCTGGAACATCACAGCACAGTGTTCCTCTCGATAATAAGACAAGCGAATCCGCGTTTGCTGGGGTAGGCAATTGCACGCCGAGAATTCTCAAGAAAAAAATACAAATAAGAGAGAAAAAAACAAAAGAGACAGCGATTACGATATCTTCGACGGACGTCGCGGCTAGTCCCGACCGAATCGAAACAACTCGATGTAAAATACCGGCCGTGTTATGCACTGAAAGATTTCTCCAGATTTGATCAATTTCGTAATCAAAATCCAAACATATTTCACAATCGGCGTGCTCCAAAAAAACTAAAATGTCAATCGATAAGTACGATTGTCAGACTTTTCAACGAAAATACTTTATCACATTTAACGTAAATATTTTATATTATCTTACCGTATCTTATCTTATACATTATCTTAAGTAAAACATTTGTTTGAAACGCGAAAGATAATTTTCTCATAAAGGGATGACTAGTTTCAATTTACCTGTTTATTGTGACAAAATTATATTTTATTTGGTTAAAAGGCATCATTTCGAATAATAGCGAAATAATTTCAAATAAAATCCTTCCTGTTGAATAACAGAGTTTTCTTAAGTGAGACGATAAAATATTTACCTAAACAAATAATATGTCATATATGTTGTTTCTATGAAACAAATTTTACTCAAATAAATAGAAATCTAATTAATCTAAGGGAATCTTTTTCTCTGTACGTGCTAAAAAATCGTCCGAGAAATATCAAGAGACAAATATAAACGACAGGAAAGCCGAAAAAGAGAATTCTGCGTCACGAATAGTTCCATAACCATGACGAGTATGATAATGAAGGAGCGTGAGGTATTATGTCGATGTTACGAGACAGCGAATCGACGTTGTTCCCAGTAAATGACATCACAATATCTAGTTTTAATTTTTCGAAAAGGGAGAGAGATACAATCGTGAAACATATTCTGGCATCTACTACTACTCGCCAAATTTCATTATGGGATACGATTTATCATTCAAGCGTACATCTATTCGTGCTCTCTCACTCGTTACCTCTTCGAGTTGCGAGTTGGAAGGATACTTTCGAAATGTATTGCTCAGCGAAATCGTTCTCCGTTGCGTGCAATTTTCACGCCTTCTCCGGGGTGAGCGCGGAAAATAAAGATTAGCTTCGATAACTGAATTAGTTGTGAACATCTAAAAAAAGTCTTTCGCAGCGTAAGCAATTTTAATTGCCGCGGTAGTAAACTCTTTCGCTGCAGCAGCAAACGCACTATCGCAAGCGTCGTTTATAGTAAGCAAAAGAGTTAGTGGTTGCAGCGATAAAAATTGCTTGCTCAGATATAATTTTGCATGCGCATGTGTTACAACTAATTTAGTTACCGCAGCTCTTTCGTTAATAAGAAGCTATTAAAGGAAATAATTGCGAATGCAACGATGCATTATGCATACGTTGTTTGCATTAGATAAGGAATGCCAACGTTAGTCGACTGAAATTTACAAGATCGTTTGAAATGTCGGGAAGCGCCTCTCTCGTACGCCGCGTATATGTCAAATGTTCACGTGCATAATAAAAGCACAATGATTATATCGTTCTTGATGATGCGTGAGATAAACCAGACGTGCATCATGAAATCATTGGCGCTGGTGGCATAAAATATTCATAAAATCTGATACGTATATTATGTGGCATAAAATATTCATAAAATCTGATACGTATATATTTACGAGAAGCGATATGAACGGTGATTTAATTCGCATTGCGAAATAGGCGAACGAGAAAAAATAAAAAAACAGTAGGCCAGCGGAACCGCAAAAACGAGTCAACCTTGTTAACGTGTGGCACATAAAACTGGATTTTGTATTGATCCTTGAGACCTGGTCTGATTGGACAGTATTTATAATAATAAATTTATTTTAATATATTATATTTTACGACATGTAATTAATTTTAACCTCAGCCGCTTTGATTCACCGATGCTCCTGCCGTGTGCGCGTTTGCATTCATCATTACCGATACATTTCCCAACGTCGGGCCGTAAACAAAGGAATTAATTACACCGAGCAATCATCATTAGGCGGTGACGATATTATTACACGAATATCGTTTGCGTTAATGAGAACCCTAATCGTGTCCATTAGCATTCTTTCGCTAATGTATTTAAATCCAATTACCTCATCGTGCCTCGTTCATCGATTTGCAATACTTCACTCTTTCGTTGCTTCGTTAATCTTACTCATTCCACCTCGTAACGTTCCTCTTGCTCGCGATATTTCGCTAAATCGATAATATTCCCGTCGCTATTCGCGATCCATCAACCGTAAATCTCGCAATTTCGCGGCACTTTTTCCCGCGCGACGAGAAGAAATTTCGCACGCCAGCCGTATGAATGCGAAACGTATCGACGTTAATTAAATGATCGAAGGCGGAATGAGAGTGACAACGCCGAGGAGAAAAGGACGGAGGGGGAAAGCCTGTAAACGCAGCAACAGAAGCGTATCGCGTTTCGTCAAACTTTCCGTTACGGCATCCGCATTATTCACACGCGGACAATTTAAATCGCGACGATTCCCGACGACTCTCGACACGAGCGATATCAATGCAAAGTAGCCATTACTGTTCGAGCTTTATGTGTCTTTTGAAGGAACGACCACCTCGACAGCGACACGACGATATATCAAAGCGCGACATAAAATGTTGACGCACAGCGATACCGACGTAAGGTCGTCTCGAAAGCGTCCGATATGGTTTTTACCTGTTAAGCTCTCTTTCGTGCAAAGAACGACACGTCGCAGGATCCACAGGTGTGAAGTTAATAATCCACAGGACGAGAACGGGTTCACTTTACCGTGTGACCGGCGGGGGAAGGGAGGAAGGGAAAATATACGAGAAGATGTACGTCCGGAGATGTCCCGTTCGAATCCTGGCGGACGGATCGATCCGCGCGCACGTGACGAGCTTGCGCTCGCGCTGAGAATAGCGATCGCACGTGGTGCGGCCCGAGATAAGTGGGCAGGAAGTCGGACTTGTGTTGTGTACGTAGCTGGTCTCCGGCGACGATGGTTTTTCGGTGATTGACGCTCACGCACTACATCGTCGTTTTGAGAGGGCGCGTGCGGACTGTCGGCGGCGCAAGCGATTGGTGGGGCTTTATAGCCTTCCGCGACACGAAACACGCTCTTCCCCACCCCGGAGTGGAGCCGGGATAAACGCAACGGCCGGAGGACCTGTCGTCGTCATCATCGTCGGTTGGCGTGGATCGTGGGTCCGTGACGTCACGGCCGGAGAACCAGCGTCCCCTCGGGGGTTTTCAAGATTTTACGCGCTGGCGCGTGCGCCTCTCGCACGGTCTTTCCTGATCGCGCACGATCTCTCGTGGACGTCATCGCGCGATTTCCTCCTCTCCCGTGAGGCGCGATCTTTCGCGCACAGGTGAGCGTACAGGTGAGAACACAGTCATCGAGGGGGGTCGGCCGAGGGACTCGGAAAAGAGTGCGTGTGCGTCAATCGCCGAGTGCGTGGACGCGTTCATCCGAGAAGGGGAAATCCTCGTTGCCCGGATAAATTGAGAGCATTACCTGAGTAAGGGGAAACCGCGAGAGTTGCGCGAGTAATTAAGATGCATCGATATATGTACGCGCGCGCGCACAACTTGTATTATCGTTTTACGTCTTTCGAGAAGATGCTTCGAACGATCTCTCGAGCGTCATTCGATAAATCTGCGTTGATCGACGTCTTCGCGATTTAACACCACGCGTCATCACACGTGGGTGAGTTTCACAAGAGAACGTCGTGTACGTGGGACAGCGATAATTTGGCGTGTCCATTTAAAAACAAATTAAGTGTAAGTTTAGTTTCCGAATGGGCCTTTAGGAGCAAAACACGGATGGTGTAATTAGAATATTAATCCTTACAGTACGTGTAATGTGAAAGAGGTACACCTCCTTGATACAATAATGGGTCTCGAGTGCCCGACAATTGTTTTAACTATTTACAACATGGTTCAAAAAATCGGCAAAAATTCATGAATATACTTCAAAGCTTGTAGAACAAATGTATGTAGTTTAAGTTGAGCAATAATAATATGTGGTATGATTTATTTATGAAAAAGAAAATACAGATCGAGGAGAAAACTTCCAAAAGAAAAATCGGTCGAACACTAAAGACCCCATTATTATGCCCTGCGAGTAAATATTGTCAGTATTAATATTACACGGAGAAAATATCACTTGTACTTCGAAGAAAAGCGATTACTCAGTTGATTTTGCTTCTATTAAGTAATGGTTATCTTGAACAAAGAATATTTTCTTAATATAGTATTAAAATATAGTAATGATAAATATTAGAAAAGCTCATTATCATTTACTTTAAAAAAAGAATTTGTTCTCTTTTCGAAAAGATTATAAACTTTACCAAAGAAAAGTTAAATATTAGGTTAATTGGAATAAATAAACTGAAACGTTAGTTTAGTGTTTTAATATTTTTGATTGAAGTTGCTAAGATAGAGAATATATTTTGAATAAACTAAGCTAAACTTGTTAAGATAGAGAATATATTTTGAATAAATTTGATGTATTAGGGGGACCGGAAAGTAATGTCGCTTTCTTAAGTTAAATTCACACGACTACATTTTTAACAAGTTTTTATTTCTAATCAACAATATATTCACCTTCGTTATCAACAACCTTTTGCCATCTAGTATACAAATTTTCAATGCCGGAGCGGTAAAAATCAATCAAATCAAATATCGACATGCGCAGAAACGATATTGCTTTCCGGTCCCCCTAATATTTATGATGAACTTGTGATATATACTTGTTTCAAGTATTTCAAAAGTTTATATATTCGCAAGTATATCATAAGTTTATCGTAAGCATCAGATTTATTCAAAATATATCCTCAGTCCTAGTAAGTTTAGTAAGTCTTAATTACTCGGACTCGCGCAACTCTCGCGGTTTCCCGTTCAATCCTAGTAAGTTCAATTAAAAATACTATATTAAGATATTAAAACAAAAATTTCGGTTTGCTTATTCCAACTAATCGAATTTAACTTTTCTTCGATAAAGTTTATAACATTCTTGAAAAGAGAGCAAATTCTTCTTTAGGTTAAATTATAACGAGCCTTCCTCATATTTGCGATAAATATATCTCAGTACTATTATCAAGCAAATATTTTTCGTCCAAGGTAACCATTACTTAAAATAAGAAACATAAACAGAATAATTACTTTCCTTTGCAGAAAAAGAAATGTTTTTCTGTGTGTATTTACGGAAGGATAAAATTGTTCAGACGTAACACACGTGCTGAATATTTTCAGCCAATCGTACGCGGTGTAATCTGTCTTCCACGCTTAAACTGATTCTTGAGTCATAATATTGTTATTAAAATTTAATACCTCTGAAAAATCCTTTTACTCGATTGCTGAATTAATTAGAAAATAATTCTTTATTCCACACCTTGATTATACACTCGTTTCATGCTGAACAATTTTATCCCCCCACAAATAATATTAATACTGATAATATTAAACTGATAATATTAATATTGATAATATTAAAATTCTAATAACACTACACTATCCGTGTTTTGCTTCTAAAGGCTCATTAAATTTTTTCGTTTGGTTAAACCAAGAAAGAGCAGTCTTTCTTAATATTAAGTCTGTTTTATAATATTATATAAAAAATATATGATAGGTTCTAGTGAATAGTTTTCCAAATGAACGGTGATTGCGGTCATATTGAAGAGAACGTCAATATTGACCGCCCTGGTTTAAGAAAGAAACGACGTTTTGTTTATTCATGTGTCTTGGAAAGATTTCGGTGCTTCGCTCGACAAACACCGAAGAATCACACGCGTCGGAGTCAATAATGTGGAATACCGTTTCCTTTTCCTCGTATAGGCACCATAGTTTAATATAACGTTTTCTAAGAATAATTTACTTAACGTCGTGATTAAGAGATCTAGTGTGGAAAAGTTGGCGACTCGATCTCCAGAATCTCCTCGAGATCCTTGCGAACCTCGATCAGATGATTTAACACGTTCACCGCCAACGGCACATATGTGTACAAGACAGGTAGTGGGTTTCCCCAAATAAATCGCTAATGCGAACGTGTTAATTAACTCAGACATGACGAAACATCTTTCATTCGAACGAACATTCTCGGTATCCCTCAGATCAGCACGTGTTCGCTATGTTGTATGCACAATTCTCGCTGAACATGTTTCGTAATTCTCATTTCGACGGTAAAAAACACACACGGTGCACATTATCGGCTTAAAAACAGATAGGAGATGACTTTCATTTTCAGTCTGAATTTCATTCTTTCACATACCTTTCCTTTTATTTTATCACATGTTGTGGAGATAGCTTCAGTCAGTTCGGAAAGACGAGTAGGCAATATGTAGAAAGATCACCGAGTAAAGCCAGCGGCACACGATGCTTGTTTTCATGCTGGATTGTTTACTGGATAGAAATACTGCGTTTTGATTGGTGTATTGTCATCCTTTTTTGGAAATGTACCAATCAGAACGTAGTATTTCTATCCAGCAAGCGATCCAGCAGGAAAACAAGCGTCGTGTGCCGCTAGCTTAAAATAAGATAAGACACAAGCGCACTACACTAACCATAATCGAAGAAATAACACCGAAGAATTGATGTGAGTCACGAGAAGGAGACAGACAGGCAGACAGAGAGAGAGAGAGAGAGAGAAAGAGATGTTCGCGACGAATTTGCATCCAGCGTGAATATTAGATTGTGTATACAGGCCGTGTATACATGTTCTAATAAAAATATAAAGCAATTTATAAGTAAGGATGATGTCAAGATCGGAGCGTTTGCGTCACGCAAGCAAATAGCAGATAATCGAGCCTGATACAAACATATCAAGCCATGCAAATTTTCCCACGGTCGCGGATGGGTTTGCGAAAGCAACTTTGAATAACGGCAATCGTTTCGCGGGAAATGCGCGAAATTCCGCAAACAGCAGGATTGAGTCCCCCCGGCCATCAAGGAGGAATCTCGTTCTTCGTCGTCGCGTCAGCGATAAACTTTTCGATAACACACCGGAACCTTGTGCCACGCGCGTGCGTTTGTCTATTTTTTTCAAACGAGACTCGCTTTATCGTGACGAAACGATCGTGGGTAATTATATCCCGCTTACAGATAAATAGATATTGTGTGACGCGTCTGAGCGTCGAGTAAAATTCACCGAGGAAGAGAACGATTGACTCGCGGCGCGGCCGCATCGGCCGACGACGACGAACAGAGGAGGTGCCTTTAATTTTCCAAGTGTCTTGGCCCGTCCGGAGACACGTAGACGGCGACCTTGATCGGCAAAACATGCGTAGGGAAACCCCAGGACACCGGTATAAAATGCCGGTTCGAAGAAAACGGTCGGAGAAAGAGCGCCGGAGAGATACGGTTGAAGGGGAACCGGTTTGATGGACCGAATAAAAGCGGACGAACGGCTTCGCAAACTCGCGAAGAGAGGAATGCGGAGAGCATTCGTTTCTTGGGATGCTGAGGGAAACAAGCGAGATTTCTCCTCTCTCTCTCTCATTCGTAATGACGGTCCTGGCAAGTATCTCGCGTCGAATCGCCAGGCGATGCTCGCAGAGCGATTTGAATTCCAATCAGCCGACACGCCCGACGAGCAGCAGCGCGCGCGCGTCCAAACACTTTCCGCAGAAAAATCGCTCATCGTGACAGCATCGATTATCGGCGGCGTTACGCAAGTGACGACGAGACGGCATATAATTCCAATCGATCCCGATACGAAAATTAAATGAATTCGGCGCCGTCGAGACGAAATAACAGCTGCAGAGCCTGAAACAATTGGATTCGAGGCTCGAGCGATCCCGAGACGAAATTTCAAATGCTATTCTGACGCTCTCAAGGACAATTTGCACCCACTTAGAAGGCTTACGGATTAATAAAAACCTACTTTGATGAGTACCGGTATTTTTTCACTTCTCTTTCCAGCCTTTAATTCTGCAGATTGAATTTTAACGCCACTTTCCTCATTCTATTTTAACGCTAGAATAAGGAAAACGGAAATTTAATACATCATCGGGATCAAAGTAGGAGTTATATTGTATTATTAGAATTGAAATTGGACCTATTTTAAATTTATCTTAGCGTCTACTGTGCCGTAGAATTAAAGGTTTGACATAGGGCCAAAATTTCGGTCCGAGATGTCAGTTTCAGCGATCCATCCGAACGATCGAAGCGACGGAGGGAGAGAGAGCGATGTGTATATATAAATTCCGCGCACGCTGCATCGCGTCCTTGCGACTTGCGGAGCAATTGCAATAATTGCGTAAAGTGCCCGAACTTTAACGAGCCGCGCGCGAGAACCGTTGCGAGAGAGGACGCGATGCGAACGGAGACGACACGCGAAACGACTTAACGCATTAGCAACGACGGAATTACGGAACGCGTATCGGAAGCGTGTGAAATCCGTGTGTGCGCGTAATTCGACGACGTGGGGAAATACGACACGAGTCGGAGAACTCGTATTTCGGCGCCGGGCGAGAACAGGATTTTTCAAATCGCGGGCGTCGAACAGGTCGTTAGACCTGTGAATCATCCCTGGTAGAAATTTCGCGCAGTTTTCCAACAGTTAACGAACAGTCATATTAATACTTCTGCCCAGTAACTGACGAATAAAACCGTTGGGATCCTGACGAAGATATAACGCTTTCTCTGCAATTACTGGGCACAAAAGACGCGCAAATCTGCACTCGTTTTACTAAGCGAAAAATCGAACTGAATAATTGGACAGAGAAACTATTCAATTGATTGACAAGCAAGTTTACTGCTCATAAGATGGGCAGTTTTGTGCTGGTAATAATGGATATTGTGTACGTCGTAGACATAAAAGTTATCTGATTTTTTGTAATAAGTTTCAAAACTGAATGAACTAGCAAGAAATCTATTTCTCAGGAACTATTCTTTCATTGGTTTATTTTCAAGTCGCCAAACTTATTACAAAAAGTCGGATAATCTTTGTGTTCACAATTGTACAAGAGATCTAAGGTGCGTTTCTAAGGTAGTCTGTGTTCTCGTCATGATATAATTCTTTATTATTAATATACAGCCCATTTGTTGTTAGCTCGCTTTCAACTCTAACCTTATCTGTCACTTCTACCATAACCTGTTGTTTCGTTATATTCCGGATTTCCTCCAACTTCCTCTTCCTTGCTCCACGTTTTGCTACGCGTTCACTCATTCTTCACGTAGTTTTAAGATCGTCTTTGAATAATAAATTTAATATAATTTAATATAATACAATCTTCATAATGCGTGCGCGTGCGGTATAAAACTGAATAAAACTATGTTCATAGTTCTTCTCCAGTTTTTGCACAGTTTCGATCTACATCTATGAAATGCAGTAATATTAGACAATAACTGAGCGATTGCCTATGCAAACTGCACATATTTTACATATATTACCAAGAAAACTGCTTCAGGCACTGAACAAAACTCTATCAAATTTTTGTCCATTTCCTGTCACAGTATACCCGAGTCGATATTTTGGCCCTATGTTAAACTTTTAATTCTACAACACGGTAGGTGCTAAGATAAGTAAAATAGGTTTAGTTTCAATTCTAATAATATAATATAACTCCCACTTTAATCTTGATGATGTTTTAAATTTCCGTTTTCGCTGTTTCAGCGTTAAAATTCAATCTTTAGAATTAAAGGTTCAAGAGAGAAGTTTAATAGTATCAATATTGCCGAAGTAGGTTTATATATTTATATATATATATATATATATATATATATATATCTCCGGTTTTACAGCGTTCTCCTACACTCTTCGATTCCTAAACGTCAGTTCTACCTATTATTGTCTATTATTCCAGTCTCTTCGTGTTAGATTGCATTCTAACATAGCTCTCTGAATACCTTGAATCTATGATGTTTTAGCTCTTCCTTTTCTTCGCTTATCTACTGGTACCCATTAGAATACTTGCTTAGGGATTCTATTCTTTGGCATTCGTTGGATATGTCCATACCAACGTAGCTGTTGTTCTTGAATTTGTTGGGTAACATTTTTTTCACTTTCATTATTTCTCTGATCCTTTCGTTTCTGATCCGACCCCGCCGAGAGATTCCTGCTGTCCGTCTCCAAAAATCCATCTCTGTTGCCAAGAGTTTTTTCTTATGTTTTTCAATAAGTTGCCATACTTCTGCCCCGTACAACATAACACTCTTTAGGATGGTGTTATATAAGAGATGTTTTTTATCTAAAATAATGTTCTTCGACCACAGAACAGGGTTCAAGGCTTCGATTACTTTTCTTCCTTTTCTAATCCTATCTTCTAGCTCTGTCTCGCATCTACTATTTGCCACTATATTCGTACCCAGGTATCTGTATTTTCGCAACCCTCACGAAATGACATTCACACTTTTCATCTACAAGCTATCCCGCTCGTCCTTCTACATCCATATATTTAGTTTTTTCCACGTTAACGGTTAGGCCTTATTTCTTATACTCATCTTTTGCAGTTTTCTCGTCATGTAGTCGTCTTTCGTAGTTTTTTCGAGATCTTCTTTATCATAAGCTATTATTACCTGGTCGTCGGCGAAGTGAAGTGTATATAGTATAGTGTTATCATTCAGAGGAATTCCCATATTGAGGTATTTCCTTCTCCTGTTTGAGAGCGTGGTCAAGATTTGAAAAGGATAGAGGACAAGCAGCAGCTTTATCTAAGGCCCTTTGTCACAGGGAATTTCTCCAAAAGTAACTGGTTCGTTTTAATTCTTGAGTAAGTGTTCGCATACAGTTCTTTTACAGCTTTTATAAGGGTTACATTTATTAGTCTAATAGGCTGTCTAAGTAGGCGCAAATGATCCTTAAGAGCGTCAGAATAGCATCAAAATTTCGACTCGGTAATTGACAATTAATGGGAATGCAGTAATACTGAACACTAACAGATTGGGTGTCTACAGTAAAAAAAAAAAAAGAAAAAAACTGTACAGATTTCTCTCTACCAGGATATGGTTGAGAATTATATTAAAAAGATATTATCGGACACGTGTCAATGCTGTCAAGGCGCGCGCGTGCCGACGAATCTGGCGTCATCGCCGGAGTGAATGGAAACCGGGAAAGCGGCAATCCTTTTCCAAGGAGCAAGCAAGGTAAAAGATCTCAGATGCTTATCGGTCGGATGCAGAGTGTGGATTTTTTTAACTTTTAATTGGATTATTAGATTATCACGGACGTGTGCGCGGTGAATAGAATACGGAGAGATGTGTATTCATCATAAACGCGGCAGTCGTTCTCCGAGGAGAGGCCGGCCACGGGGAATTCGCTCGCGGGCTTCCGCGAGCCTCTGAATTCTTACCAAACCGCAAGGCCGCACGCGCGATCCCGAGCGCGGCAGTTATTTACCCAGATCGATATAAGTTCAAGTGCAGTCGAGATCATCATCACGTATCGCGACTGCTCGACCGTAGCGGCGCGAACACGCGTTCACCGCGTAACCTCCTCCTCCTCTTCCTCCCGGTTATCTAATCGCGTACAAGTCTCGAATTCCACGTGTTGCGAAGGTAAATGCAAATATTGTGTCATACGCACGTACTTCTACAGTGCAGTACTATGTAATAAGAAAGAACAGATATCCGTAAAAGTAGCAAAAGGTCGTCGCTCCACCACGGTATTTAACTCGTGTCACGTGCGTAAATACATGCTATTTGAAAGCAAGGATAAATCCTGCCGTGTAACGATAAGCCGTGTGCTGCACACCTCTTCGTGTTCGCGCTTCTCGCAGTGCCATGAATTAGACGCTGTCAGCGAAAGAAACGTCTCTTCGCTAGCTGCCTTTGCTATCTTGATCAAAAAGCGGGATAGTGAAATATGTTTCTGAAATGAGAAGAAAAGATTGACACCAGGATACATTTTTCATTTTCCGTAGAGCGAAGCGTTCAAAGTCGCGCCTTTTTCGCTTTACACTGCGGGTACACGGCGGTTTTCTCTTTTAATGAGTCCCCCATTTATCTTCAGAGGCCTTGGAACTTAGTGGAGGAAACTTTCAGGGTGCATAAAATTGCGATGAGTGTCACCTTCGACGCCTCCTTCGGCGGTCCGAGGAGCACTCTGATCTACCGACTTATCATCGGGTTAATTAATACGCAGAAGACAAATTTCGCTGTTCAATGAGATAAGGTCGCGGGTTGTTTCAGCTTTCGTAAAAATGTTAACATGTTGATGGAAAAATCGGATCGAGGTTAAACTACAAGCCGTCCGTATAAGAATAATCCTCTCTCGACAATTCATTTTCTTATCCATTAATATTTCATACCCCCGCATTAATATTTTATCCATTTACTTCGGATATATGCATATATACTAGATGACAAAATTCTAATATCCATATACGCTGAATCATTTTGTATCGTACGCCTTGTCAATAACTAAGTTAACATCTCTCGTGCTCATCTCATTTTGTAATTATCATCGGCACTGTGTTCTGTGAATCAATCCATATGCTTAATTTACGACGATCCTGATGTAATTGTATTTGTTTAAGAATTCGTTCAATGATAGCGCCTTCGGCTTAATCCACCGGGAGGAGAGCAATTAGCAAAACCAGACGGGTAAGTCATAATTCATCGGCGAATCCAGATAGCAATAAATATAAGAGGATGTCTCGGATGGCGGTATACTGCCTCGATTAATTTTGCCCAGCTGTATTAAAGATTTCCACTGCAGAGAGATGGTATACAATAGTCTTTAATTAACGAGAGGCGCAAGAATATTAATTTATATAATGAACAGCACAAGCGGCGTAGAATCTGTTTCAGACGGGAGAGGATGAGCAATGGCGCATTGCTTTCCTGAAACACCACGTAGTCTTAGCGTTATCGCATCGTGTCGACCGATAAACAAAACCGGTAACAATAGCCGAGTCGAAATTTTTGGCCCTACACTGAGAAAAAGATTTCTTCAAGTTTAATTAATTTCATCGCATCCAAATTTCATCATTGGCAGGCTGCAAAAAACCGATGTTTCGATTAATAAATATTGTTAGACTTTTCGACGAATATGTATCTTCATCTTAAATAAAAAATTCGTTTGAAACGAAAGACAATTTTCTCATAATGAAGTTATTTGTTTCATTTTGCATATTTATTGTGACCCAGTAATATTTTATTCGGTTAGAAGATATTATTTCAAATAATAGCGTTCTTTTCATGAAATAATAGAGTTTTGAACGAGACAAAATTGTTTACTAATTTTTACAAACAAATATATATTTCGTATATGTTGTTTCTATGAAACAAATTTGAGTCAAATAAATAGAAATACCAAATCTAAAGAAACATTTTTCTCCGTGTGAATTAGAATTTCCTCACTTGGAAATTCTTCATTTTGAGAATCACGAGGGGACAATTTTGCACGAGATGAACATTATCGCGTCGAATTTTGCTTAATCGGACCCACTCGTCGCGGTAGCGGCGTTTTTCGGGGATTCGAAATCACTTCGCCGATCGTTCCGATCCATTGTCGCGCATTAGTCGCACAAATTGCGACATGAGTCGTCGTCGGCTGTTGCAAAAAGCAGCGCAAGAAATCAGGAATAGTGACGCAGCGAAGCGCGGGCGGCGGTATACATCGACGATTAAATTCAATGCCAACCGTCGTCGACTCGGATCGATCGGAACAAAGGCACGCGATCCTTTATGGGGGCCTTTTTTGCCGAATGTAGGAAACGTATTGCAGCCTCCGCGCTCCGTAAAGGCGAGCCGTAAGAGCGCTTTTACACACGTTTTATGTAATTGTGGTGGCGATTCGCGGAAAACGAGTGTTCTCGACACCGGCGTGGCGTTCCTTACTCCTCCGCAGACGATACGTAGTGATAAATTGTACAAATTGTAATCTAATATTGTGCAATACGCTCCGCGGTGTTACCGATATAATTAATATAGTTTTGAGCGGGCAAAACCGACTGCGGAGCTGTAATTATTACAAATCTCGTTTGCGATACTGATCTGATTATCTAATGATCTAATCGAAGGTGAATCGGCAAATTTATTCCAGTATTATTCACGTAATCCATTTATCTCCGACGGAAGTTTCAAGAAAATTTTCCAGTTCGGCCTGGCCAATTATCCAGCACTCTAATCAGCACGATAACAATCCCATTGCGATTACCGAGCGCATCGTAGTTTCTTGCCGGCGTTTGTTAGTTAGACATAGTTTCTCATTGCATCATCATTACACGACGAAAGTGAGCCATTTTCGCGTTATTAAATGTAATTCATAAATTATACGCGGGAATTTATAGATGAGGAGTTCATAAATTTTCGCATTACACATCCATCATGTAATTATGCGGTAGAAATATTTAGATACACGTGTGTGTGTGTGTGTATCGCGGCCGCATGACGGGACAGATATTACTTTCGAGATAATTTCAAGGGCGTATTTTACAGGCTAATTGCCATCACTCGAGTAGAGCCCTTCATCACAGATCGATATTCGCGAGGATCATTTTCTTTATTTTTAGCCTGCCAGTCGTTCCACGTGACCTAATCTAATCCGCACTCCTATGTCCGCTCCTTTAGGAAGTCCTTGAAAATGTCAATGCGGTTTCGCTCGGGTGGTTCAGTCGATAGCACGTAGAATCCACTCCGTTCGGAAAAACAGAATCGATTGTTTCATCGCCTAGAATCGCTGAGAATCGATGCATATCGCAGCTGTTCTCACGGTACCATCATTATATCCTCTTTCTTTTTAATATCAGGAAATATACGATTCATATATGCATATATATATATATATATATATATATAAGATGTCCAAAAAAAATGCATATACACTTTAACAATACTTGATGTTTGCGATTCCATTGCTTCGCGTTATCTACAATGCCTGGACCAGAACGATCATCAGTTTGAAAACAGGCGTTGACAAAAAAAAATTATTCATTTCTGTAAACTTTTTTAAATTTTATAAATGAACTGCATGTTAATGAACGCTGACTTTGTAATCATTCAAAGTGTGTATATAAGTGTGTATACATTTTTTAGGTCCCTGTGTATATATATATCCTTTATAAGTATAGTAAAAAATAATACAGTCTATTCACTAAAAGCGTGGCCGAGCAAACTTCTATTTGGAAACTGTCATATCGGAAACTTTTGAACGAAAAGGTAGAACTCTTTTAATTCTTAATAGAACTCTTTCCCTACGATATATTATACAAATACCCTCATTTATTGTTTGAATAGAAAACGACATATTTAACGATGAGTACCAGAGAATTTGAATACTAAGAAGATGATCAAAATTTACCAGGGGCCATTAATACTATCTATTGAAATAGTTTCGAAGTAAAAATCAGGATTGAATCCTTTAAGAGAACCCAACGACCCAAAACATCAGAATCGTCTTTGCTTTCAATGGAAAAAAGAAATATTAGACTGGCCACCAGATATAAATTCAATTGAAAATGTCTGGGTATTAATGAAAATGAAGCGTGGAATACGTGGAAAAAAATGTACACGATAAAACAATTTTCTCAACAGATTCGTTTAACATGGCGATCGTTATCTTAAGAATATGCTATAAAATTGTTGGAAAGTAAGTGAAATTAAATAAGTAGTAAATATAATAATAATAAATAATTTCAAAGTCATGTTGGTCATACTTTTAATAAACAGACTGTACAACCGTGATATTTCACAGCGTTAAATCTTCCGTAGAGAGTCGACATTTTTTTTATGCTACTTCGACTACTTTGCCATTTTTTAAGGATAATTTGCGCGAACTTAGACGGCTTATAGACTAATAAAATCTACTTTGACAATACTGACACATTTTATCTTCTCTTTCGAACCTTTAATTCTACAGATTGAATTTCAATGCTACTTTCATCAATTATATTTCGATGCTAAAACAGCGAAAACGGAAATTTAAGATATTTCATCAGAATCAAAGTAGGAGTATAATTACATTATTAGAATTAAAATCGAACCTATTTTACCATCCCAACTTCAACTACGCAGAATCAAAGGTTTAACACAGAACCAGAATTTCGACTCGGTAGGTGTCTTGGAGCGTTAAAGCGCGCGGTAAAAATCGCGTACTCTCCTCCAGCAATTGTCTCCGATTAACGGCCGATTAACGGCCGCAAATTTACGTTTTTAGAGCGCGCATTACACTGCACAACGTATCGCTGCATTTCCCGATACGCGATCACGTAGAAATAATCATCGGGCCGGAAAGTCAAAGCGATATACACACGTGACATTCTCAGTAGCCGCCGAAAAATATCTTCGGCTGGGTGTCATCTTGACACGCTGTTCAGTCTGTTTACCTTCCATCTTCGTATCCGAGCACCATTACCGTTCTCTCTCTCTCTCTCTCTCTCTCTCTCTCCCCCTCTGGTGGAGTCCAAAGGGCCCGATCTCTCAGCCACGATCCCGACCGCTGCCGTCGTCGGGTCTCGGCTTTCGCGCAAAGCCGCGAATCTCTCGGCGATTTCGTGCCATCGCATTCAAATGAATTCAAATGCATCATCAATAATTCATTAAGCGGCCCGTCAAGGGCAGGAATCGTGTACCATGGAAACGTGATTCACAGCGTCGCGAGGATGCGGCGGAGGAGGAAGAGTGTCGGAGACAGCGAGAGAGACGACGAGAGAGAGAGAGAGAGGTGATGCATTCAAGTAAACAGCCGATCGATACACCTCTTACACGAGCCTGCCCGCCGGTACGACAGCCTCTTACGAAGAAGCTCCTTCCGTGACGGGCAGAGAGGAGATTCGCCCCCGTGCTCGGGAGGAGAACTTGCGGTCTCGCCGCGAGCGTCAACCTGTGACCTCGCGTCGCGGTAAAATCGCCCGACACGCGCGCAAGGCGCCACAGGAAGACGCCTCCGCCCATTCATTCTCGCGGAGCCGCATAAAATTCACGGCAGCGAGGAAACGAGATGCAAGCGTCCCCGCGGACTCGGAGAACGAGACACGGACCTTTAAGCTTGGTCCACAATGTGCTCCTTGCGTCTTGTCTTTTCTTGCTTTTTCTTGCATTTTTCTTCTGTGAGAATTTTTACTTATTTGTTTATTTATGGAAAAGAGATAGCGAAAAACGAGAATGCGAAGAGCGCATTGTGGACGAAGCTTCGCGTGACGCGCCGGCTTCCGAACGCCGCTCGTTAGCTGCCGGTGTTACACGAAGGAATTCTTCGCGTCAGAATGAAATTCCTCGTCCTCCCTCCTTCGCTCCTTCCCCCCCTCTCCTTGCCGGCCCGATAAAGTTCTGAAATCATGGTGGCACTGCACGAAGAAAACAAAGTTTGCTGGAACAGCGAATATTTGTCGATATAATGACGATAAGAAAAAATTTGTTCGGACAACAGGAAGATTCGTCAAGAGTATCGATTACTATTCGTTGGATACATGGACGGCAAAGTAATTCGGTTACGCCGAATAAATTTCACTGCTGCAGCAACGAGAGTTTCGTTGCACAACAGCAACATTATTTTCCCCGCGTAACGAATCCTTTAGCTGTCACGATATTAACAAACGATTTGCTGGCGAAACTCGTTTTCTCCGCGCACAGCCGGATTCGCGGAGCGAACGCGAATGAAT